ACCTGTTCATGCACAGAAAAAGGGATAAAGAAACTACAGTACACAAAGGAATCCTCTTCGGCCACAGAAATTCATGAAACCATGTCATCTGCAGCAACGTGCAGAAATTGGAGGACATGACCTTCAACGAAATGAGCCAGGAAGAGAAACGCAAACACGGCATGATTTTATGCACGTGAGAATGACATCAACTTTCTCTCTAAATGACTTTATCTCCTAGACATAGTAAGTTCCACAATGGTGAAGAGAGGCTGGTGGTGGGGGAGCAGGGGCAGGAACTGGGAAATGGATACAATGTTACACTCAGATGACAGAAATAAATTCAGCTGTTCTACTCCCCAGCAGGGTGTCTAGACTTAACAGTATCTCACCACATTTTCCAAAAAAGGCTGAAAAGAAGGACTCTGAATATTGCAACCACAGAGAACTAATAAATAATAACTACACAAGGTAACAGAGACAGTCAATGCCTTCCTTTGATCATTACACAAGGTATATATGCATGGATTAAAATGTCCCACTCTACTCTTTAATTGTATACTTTTACTACAGGACAAATTGTTTTTAAGGGCATAGAAAGAAACAATGCTGAAGTTCATCTGAGACCAGGAAATGCCCTGCATTTCCAAAGCAATTCTGAGAAATCCAAACTACACTGGATGCATCACACTCTCTGATTTGAAATTTCAGTAAAACTCTAGGAACCTGCTTCCGAATGGATGAGTGGAAGAGAACACAGAACCTGAAGTAAACCCACACACCTCATACCACTTGATTGTGGATGAAACACACAATAAGTAACAGTGAAAGAACTCCCCTTTCAACAGTCTTGGGATAAGTGGTGAGCCATATGCAGAAGAGTAACACTAGGCCTCTACTTCTCACCATGTACCAAAGTTCACTCAGATGAATAAAAGATGTAAATGGAAGACCTCAAAGTACAAAAATCCTACAAGAGACCCTATATCAGCTTTGATAAAGCATTTATATGCCTAAGACCCCACATGACACTGCAACAAAAGCAATAATCGACATGTGGGACCTGATACACTAAAGAACCACCACACAACACAAGAAATCACCCACAGAGTAGAGAGACGACATACAGGATGCGAGAAAATGTTCCCAAACTATGCACCTGACCAAGGTCTAATATCCAGAAACAACCTTAAAGACCTTACACAAATCAATTAGCAAAACCCCCCAAATAACTAATAAATAGGCAATGGATATAAACACACACTTCTCAAAAGATGATGTTCAAGCAAGCAACAAGTGTGAAAACATGCTCAACCTAATTGTCAGAGAAATATAAATCAAATGCACAATAAGATAACATCTCACGCTGGTCAGAATGGTGATTACACAGTTAAAAAAAAAAAAAAAAGGACACTGGAGAGGCAGTAGAGAAAGGGGACACTGGTCCACTTTTAGTGAAAATGTAAAGTAGTTCAGACACCATGGAAAGCACTTCAGAGATTGCTCAAAGAACTTAAACCGGAACTACCATCTGACATAGCAAGCCCACCAGTGGGGTATACACAAAGGAAAATAAATCCTTCTGTCCAAAACACACATGCACACAAACGGTCTTGGCGGCACTCTTTACAATGGCAAACACATGAAATCAACCTAGGTATCCATCAACAGTGGATCAGAAAAGGAAAATATGGTACATACATACCACAAAAAACTAGGCAGCCATAAAAAAAAACCAAGGAAATCATGTCCTTGGCAGCAACATACAAGGAGCTGCAGGCCATTATCTAAAGAGAAATAAGGAAAAAACAGAACACCAGATGCCACATGTTCTCACTTCTAAGGTGGAGCTAACACTGAATACACCCTACCATAAAAGTGAAAACAACAGACACTGCTGACTATCAGATGAAAAAGGAAGAACGGACTACGTATGGGCTAAAGACCTACCTCGTGCGTCCACCCACTTCCTGCACGATAAGGTCTCTGGGACCGCAAGTCTCAGTATCAGGCAATATACCAAAGGCAGTAAGTAATCTGCCTTGTACCTTTTAATCTATAATAAATGTAGAAATTATGTTAAAAAATACAAACTTAGAAGTTAAAAAAATGAATGAAAAACACAAACTTATAATTATCCAAACAATATTTTATTGGCATAAACTAAGGAAGTGGTAAAAATGAGTAAACTAAATACTCAACCCCAATTTACATATAGTGAACACATTTTTTTCAAAAGGACACCAAAAAGACAAAATGGGCAAAACAGAGCCTGTTCAATAGATGATTTTGAGCAAACTGAATATTCACATACAAAACGTTGAAACAGGACCCTTCTGTCATGCAACACAAAAATCAATGCAAAATACATTAAAGACCTAAAACTCAATTCTGAAACCACAAAACTCCTACAAGAAAACAAAGGGTGTGCACGTATTTTAGAAAACAAATCCATGCAAGTAGGCTGCTATAGGTATTAAAAAAACACTAAAAGCAAACACTCTAAGAAAACACCCATAGACAATGTAATGGCTTCGCATTTTCACTTTTCAGTTGAGGACTCGGTTCCCCAGAACAGTGGGACAGATTAGAAGACCCAGATGTAGCCCGGGCGTGGTGGCCAAGCCTGTAATCCCAGCACTTTGGGAGGCCGAAACAGGCGGATGACGAGGTCGGAGATCGAGACCATCCTGGCTAACATGGTGAAACCCCGTCTCTACTGAAAAATACAAAAAACTAGCCGGGTGAGGTGGCGGGCGCCTGTAGTCCCAGCTACTTGGGAGGCTGAGGCAGGAGAATGGCGTAGACCCGGGAAGTGGAGTTTGCAGTGAGCCGAGATCGTGCCACTGGACTCCAGCCTGGGCCACAGGGTGAGACTCCGTCTCAGAAAAAAAAAAAAAAAAAAAGGAAGACCCAGATGTAAACCTGCACACCTGAAACCATCTGATATTTGAAAAAAAATCAACAAAAATAAGCAATGGAGAAAGGACTGCCTATCAGTAAGTGGTGCTGGGATAAGTGCCTAGCTAGATGCAGAAGAAATAACACTGGGCCCCTGTGTCTCACCATGTACAGAAAGCAACTCAAAACGAATCAAAGATTGAAATGCCAAACCTCAGGCCAGGATCAGTGGCTCATGCCTGCAATCCAAGCACTCTTGGAGTCCGAGGTGGGCAGATGACTTGAGGTTGGGGAGTTTGAGACCACCCTGGTTGACATGGTGAAATCCTGTCTCTAATAAAAAAACAAAACTTAGCTGTACATGGTGCCTGTACTCCCAGCAACTCGGGACACTGAGGCAGGAGAATCACTTGAACCCAGAAGGTGGAGGGTCAAGTGAGCCGAGATCGCTCCATTGCATTCCAGCCTGTACAACAGAGCGAGACTGAGTCTCTAAATAAATACATAAATACATAAAAATCCAAGACCTGAAACTATAAAAAAATCCTGCACGAGAATCTAGCAAATACCCTTCTCGACAGAGGCTTTGGTAAAGCATTTATATGTCAAGTCCCCAAAATCAATGGCAATAACAGCACTTACTGGTAAGTGGGACCTAATACACAAAAGAGCTGCTGCACAGAACAAGAAAAAACCAACAGAGTCAACACACAGCCTATAGAATGAGGGAAAATATTCAACTATGCATCTGAAAAACATCTAATATCCAGGATTTATCATAAAGACGTTAAACAAATAATATCAGAAAAAAAAAACCCAACTTATAAATGGGCAAGGGACATGAACACACACTTAAAAGGAGGTGTACCAGTAACCAATGAGAATAAAAACATGTTCGATCTCACTGATCATCAGAGAAATGCAAATCAGAAACATACTGAGATACCATCTCACACTGGTCAGAATGGAAATTATGACACACAGTCCACAAACAGAGGCTGGTGGGGCAGATGAGCAAAGAAATGCAGGTCCACTGTAGGGGGAAATGCAAACTAGTTCAGACCCCATGGAGAGCAGTGTGGACATTTCTCAAAGAACTTAAAAGAGAATTACCACCCAGCACAGCAACCCCACTCCTAAGGATCTACGCAAAGGAAAACCCTTCCATCCAAAACACACATGCACTTGTATGTTCACGGCAGTACTAGTCACAATGGTAAAGACATGGAATCAGCCTTGGTGTCCATCAGCAGTGGATCAGAGAAAGGAAATGTGGTACATACACACCATGGAACACTACACAGCCATAAAAAACAAATCCATGCCCTTACCAGAAACCTGGACAGAGCCGTAGGCCATTATGCCAAAAGGCAAGAACAGAAAACCACAATTTTCAAAACAGCTACAAAGTTCAGTTGTGAATATTCTCTCCACAGAGAAATCATAAGTCTGGAGCTCACAGAGATGCCAGACACTGTGACTTCATTATGATGTTATGTTTACGCAGATCAAATTGTTCCTTGCACCTGCTGGTTACATACACATACTCTACAGCAATGAAATTGTTGTCCCATTTTGGTAACATGCGTTCTCACCAGAGTGAGATGATATCTGAGTGTGGTTTTGATTGACTTCTCATGAGGATCAGTAATGTTGATTCAGAATCTTTAATCTGTGCATCCATCTCAGGTCTTCACGTCCTTTGCCCACTCTTACACATCAAACTGAAACAAGCTCACAATAACCTGGCAAACATCACTAACCACAAGCAAAATGTAAAACAAAACCACACTTAGACACCATCTCATTCTAATTGGAATGAGTGTTACAAAAAAAGGAAAAAAAACATTGGAAGAAAGGGAAATGCTGGTGTGTTTCCAGAGAGAGAGAGAGAGAGACACTCTTCTCCACAGTTCGTGAGAAGGTAAACTAGCACACACGCTACAGAAACCACTTGGATGTTCTTCCAGACCTTAAAAGACTCCAATTACCATTTCAACCAGCAATTCTACTACTAGGAATACACTCAAAGTCATTGAAATCAGGACACCAAAGATAGATCTACCCACTCATGTGGATTCCAGCACTGTTCCCAAGAGCCAGTGTAAGCATCAACCTACCTGCTTATCCACAGACGAAGGGAGAAAGAAACTGTTCCACATGTTCACACCGGGATACTCTTCAGACAGAAAACCACAATGAAATCATATCATGGGGAACCACACGGTTGCACCTGGAGGAGATGGTGGTAAATTAAATGAGCAAAGGGGGAGAGAAACAAACCTTGAGTCATCTCACACATGCAGAATCTGAGAAACTATCTCAAACACCTGACGAGCACAATATCGGTTTCCTGAGATTGGGGGAAAAGAGGGGTAATGGGCATGGACTGTAAAAGGGTACAAAGTTACACATCAATGAGAGGAAGAAAATTCTGTTGTTCTACTCCACTGCAGGGTGACCAGGGTTAACAGTATCGGCACATCACTTTCAAAGCAGCTTGACAGGAGAATACTGAAGGTTCTCAGCATAAAGGAATAAACAATCGGAAAAGGTAACAGAAACACTAAGTACTCTGATTTCATCATTCCACAATGTATGCATGGGCCATAACGCCCCACTCTACCCTCTCGTTCTATTGTTTCTTTACTATGAAACACATTTGCTGAAAGAAATAGAAATACGCACTGCTGATTCAGGTGGGACCATGAAGCTCCCTGAGTTTCATCCTCTGCAATCCTGAGACATCCAGACTACATCGGACACATCACATTTCCTGATTTCAAATTTCATGGAAAAGCTAGGGACCCACTTCCACACAGAGCAGTGGAACACAAGAGAGGACCAAGAAGTAAAACCACACACTGAAAACTATCTGATCTAACACAAGATCCACAAAAGTAAGCAAAGGGAAAAGGACACCATATTCAATCAACGGTGTTGAAATAAGCAGCTAGCCATGTGTAGAAGAGTAACACTAGGCCCCTATCTCTCACCAGACACAAAGAGGAACTCAAGATGAATAAAACATATAAACGTAAAAACTCAAACTATTAAAATCTTACTAAAAACTTGTGCAATATCCTTCTCCACATAGGCTTTGGCAAAGCATTTAGATGGCTAAGTCCTGAAGAGCAACAGCAACAAAAACAAACACTGACAAGTCAGACCGAATACCCGAATACCTGAAACAGCTGCTGCACAGCAAGAGAGACTACAACAGAGTAAACAGACAGCAACAGAGAATGGGAGAACATGCTCCCGAACTGTGCATCTGACCAGTGTCTAATATGCAGAATCTACAAGGACCTTCAACAAGTCAACCAGGAGAACAGAAAAAGAATATCCCATTAATAAACAGGCCAGGGATGTGAACACACACTTCTCAAAAGTCGATGTACAAGCAACTAACAAATAGGAAAACATGCTCAAACTCACTCACTACCAGAGAGCTGCCAATCAAAAGCATGATGAGATGCCATCCCTCGCAGGTCACAAGGGTGATGCCCACACAGACAAGGAACACACGCTGGTGAGGCAGCCGAGAAAACGAAATGCTGGTGCGTTTTGGTGGGGATGAAAACTAGTACAGACACCGGTGAAAGCAGATCGGGGATTTCTCAAAGAGCTGAAACCAGAACTACCACCTCATCCAGTAAGCTCACTCCTGTGCATCTACCCAAAGGAAAATCAATCCTTCTATCCAAAAGACACAGGCACTCATATGTTCATGGCAGTATTATTCACATTTTCAAAGACATGGAATCAACCTAGCCATCAACAGTGGATGAGAGGCTGGCACAGTGGCTCACACCTATAATTCTAGAACTTTAGGAAGCCGAGGCAGGTGGATCACTTCAGTCCAGAATTTAAGACCAGTCTGAGCAAAATGGTGAAATCCCATGTCTATAATACAAAAATTAGCTGGATGTGGTGGCGGGCACCTGTAATCCTATCTAATCCGGCGGCTGAGGTGGGAGGATCACCTGAGAACAGAAGGTGGAAACTGCAGACCACTGGAACTAAGGCCCAAATAGTAAACCAAACGCCACATGTTCTCACTTATAAGCGGGAGCTAAACTTTGAATAGACTCAAACATAAAGAGAACAACAGACACCTGGAATGACCACCAGACCAATCAAAAACAGGGGAGAGGGAGCGTGTCCTGAAGACCCACCCTGAGGGCCCTCTGCTCACTGCCTGGGTTACGGGATTGTTGGGACCCCAAGTCTCAGCGTCATGCAATCAACAGATGTAACTAACTTGCATGTGTACCCTTTAAACTATAATAATAAGAGTAGAAAGCACTAAAAGAAAAATCCAAGGTTAGAACCAAAGAAAATAATAAATGAAAAAACAATCTGTAGTTATTCAAACAATCCATGACTGTCACAAACACAGAACGAGGACCTAAGTGACAGAATGAGGCAGCCAAATACTCTATCCAACATGATATGTAGGGACACAGTTTTCAAAACCCCAAAAAGATACAATGGGAAAGTGAGAGTCTGGTTCAATTATTGATTTTGAGAAAACTGAATATCCACAGGAAAAACACTGAAATAGGACCCTTACAATGCACGATACACAAAATCAACACAAAATGAAGTAAAGACCTAAACTCAATCTTGAAACTGTAAAGGTCCTCTAAGAAAACATAGAGTGGGTGTATATTTTAGGAAACCCTGTATCTATGCAAACAGGCTACAAAAGGTAAAAAAGCATAACACTTAAAAAAAAGTAGGAAAACTACACCCATAGACAATGCAAGGCTTGGCTCCGTGTGTGTGAGTGTGTAGGCGCGCACGCGTGCAGGCACACGCATGTTTGTGTGTTTTGTGGAAGTGGGGTGTTGAACACCAAAGTCACTGCTAACGTACGCAACTATAACCATGTGAGACTAGGTACACTTTATAAATTCTACAGGGAAAAGAAAACAATGAAACAAAAAAAGGAATCCTACAGACTGGGAGAAATGAAAAAAAATCCTAACCCTGAAAGAGGTTATTATCTAACACAGACAATAAACTAATATGACTAAGTGAAAAACAACAAGAACAAAAACAACAAATATCCAAGGTAAAAGGATCTAAATAGACCTGAGTGAAAAGAAAGCAGGAAATTGACCCACAGGTGACAGTTCCTCAATATCACTAATCCTCACAAAAACAAGAATCAAAACCATACTCAGTTACCATCTAATTCCACCTAGAATGAGTATTACAAAAGACAAAAATCCAAATTGTTGAAGGCAATGGTCAGTGTAGACTTGCAGAAAAAAAAAATCTTCTACACTCTGTGTGGAATGAAAGTTACTGTATACACTACAAAAACTTTTGGAAGTTCCTTAAAAAAGTAAAAGGTAGGCTGGGCGCGGTGGCTCACACCTGTAATCTCAGCACTTTCGGAGGCCGAGACAGTTGGATCACCTGAGGTGGCCGAGGCAGTTGGATTACCTGAGGTCAGGAGTTCGAGACCAGCCTCACCAATATGGTGAAATCTCGTCTCTACTGAAAATATAAAAATTAGCTAGGCGTGGTTGCAGGTGCCTGTATGCCCAGTCACTCTGGAGGCTTAAGCAGGAGAATGGCTTGAACGCAGGAAGCGGAGCTTGCATTGAGCCGAAATTGCGCCACTGCACTCCAGCCTGGGCGACAAGAGCAAGACTCCATCTTTAAAAAATAAAAAACTAAAGGTAAAAGTACAACTGCCACTCCAGCTAACAATCCCACCACTGGGTACACGTTTAGAGAAAATGAAATCCCTGTGTTATCTGCCTTTTCATGTGTCCTGAAGCCCTAGTCACAACAGCCAAGATGTGGAATCAACCTACCTGTCTATCCACAGATGAAGGGATAAAGGAACCACAGTACATGTACACAAGGAAACACACTTCAGCTGTAACACTTCAGGAAATCATGTCATCTGCAACCACTTGGAGAAACCTGGAAGACAATTAGGTGAAATGAAACGAGTCTGTTAGGGAGAGACCCACGCTGCATGACATCAGGCATACGAGGAAATATGTCTGATGTCATACAGGAAACTATTTTCCTGTATGAGGATGAGGCTGGGCAAGGTGGTTCATGTGTGTAATCCCAGCACCTTGGGAGGCTGAGGTGGGCAGATCATCTGAGGCCAGAAGTTGGAGACCATCCTGGTGAATGTAGCAAAACCCCGCCTGTACTAAAAAATACAAAAATTAGCTGGGCATGATGGCACACACTTGTAATTCTAGCTACTTGGGGGGCAGAGGCACAAAAATCACTTGAACCTGGGAGACAAAGGTTGCAGGAAGCCAAGATCATGCTGCTGCACTCCAGCCTGGGTAACACAGCGGAACTCTGTCTCAAAACAAACAGAAACAAAAACAAAAAAGTCCCAGTTAAGAAAAATGTCCCAGTATACTCTCTGCTTATGTGCCTTATTATAGACAAAACATTGAAGAAGTATAGGCCAGGCACAGTGGCTCACGCCTGTAATCCCAGCACTTTGGGAGGCCCAGGTGGGTGGATCTCCAGGTCAGGAGATTGAGACCATCCTGGCCAACATGAAGACACCCAGTCTCTACTAAAATACAAAAAAAAAAAAAAAATTAGCCAGGCGTGGTGGCACGCACCTTACGCCCAGCTAGCCCCAGCTACTCGGGAGGCTGAGGCAGGGGAATCACTTGAACCTGGGAGGTGGAGGTTGCACTCTAGCCTGGTGACAGAGCAAGACTCCATCCAAAAAGAAAAAACAAAAGCGTAAATACACAATGTTAATATTAATATGGGGCCACAAACAGCCCTGAACATCTAAGGAATCCTGAGAAATACAAACTAAGTTGGAAGAATCACAATTCCTGATATCAAATTGAGTTTCAAAGGTGTAGATAGCCAATATTCCAATACATATGGTCGTGTGATTTGCCACTGTGCTCCAGCTTGGGTGGGGGTGACTTGTCTCAAAAAAGAAAAAGATTAGCTGGGCGCAGTCACTCACGCCTGTAATCCCAGCACTTTGGGAGGCTGAGGCGGGCAGATCACGAGGTCAGGAGACCGAGACTATCCTGGCTAACACGGTGAAACCCCGTTTCTACTAAAAATACAAAAAATCAGCCAGGTCCCAGCTTACTCTGAGGCTGGAGGCAGGGAAATGGCACTGAACCTGGTAGCGGAGCTTCCAGTGAGACAAAAAAAAAAAAAAAAGAAAAAGAAAAAGAAAGAAAAAGATGGGGAGAAAATAGTAGGGAATCACAGAAGTGATAATTGATTGTTATCAAACACGAACACAGAAAAAAAAAAATACCAAACAGCATGAAAAATGCATATCCAAACTAAAATTGGGCAAAAAATCTCAATAGACATCGCTGTATAAATGACATAAAATGCACAAACATGTAAGAAAAAAGGTCCTCACATTATTATTCATCAGAAAAGAATGTACTCCAAAACCACATTCAGATACCATCCCACACGTATCTACTGGAATACATGTTACTGAAAATATCTTAAAAATTAAAAAGAATGCTGGTGTGGATTTGGATAAAAGGGAAATCTTATACACTATTGCTGTAAAGGTAATTTAGGATACACACCATGGAAAAAAGTTGTAGGCCACGTGCGGCGGCTGACGCCTGTAATCTCAGCACTTTGGAAGGCCGAGGCAGGCGGATCACCAGGTCAGGAAATCAAGACCATCCTGGTTAACACGGTGAAACCCCGTCTCTGCTAAAAATACAAAAATTAGGAAACCCCGTCTCTGCTAAAAATACAAAAAATTAGCCAGGCGTGGTGGCAGGTGCCTGTAGTCCTAGCTACTCAGGAAGCTAAGGCAGGAAAATCGCTTAAACCCGGGAGGTGGACGTTGCAGTGAGCCAAGATCACATCACTACACTCTAGCCTGGGTGACACAGTGAGACCCCGTCTCCAAAAAAAAAAAAAAAGTGGTAGATTGCTCAAAAAACTGAAAACGCAACTACCATATGATCCAGCAATCCCACTACTGGGTATACCTCCAAAGCAAATGAAAACCGTATCAGAGATCACAAAGCCTCAATGGGGATAGGAGATTTTCTTCATTAAATGGTTTTGAGAAAACTGATGTTTATATGAAAAAGAACGAAATAAGACCCTTCTGCTATAGAACACACAAAAATCAACTCGAAATGGATTGAAGACCTAAACACAAGACCTGAAATTATACATCATCATCAAACGTCTGTAAGAAAAACGGGGGTGGGGTATGGCGGAGCCCTTAGTTTTGGGACAACTTGCATCTAGGCTCACAGGTTGGAAACGGGAAAAGAAAAAAACGAGGAAAAAAAAAAAAAAGAAAGCAGAGGATAAAACCTCGTCGAGAAGGGAATGGCTTGTGAATATATTTATTTTTTAAATTGGGAAAGCAAATCACAGGTAACAAAAGCAAAAACAACCATGTGGGGCTACATTCAACTGGAAAGCTTCTGTACAGAAAGAAAACAGTGAACCAAATGAAAACCAATCCTACAAATGGGGAGAAAGTTAGGGGGAAGTATGTATCTAAGGGATTGTTACAAAAAATACGCAATACCTCAACAGTGCTCAACAGCAATAACAACAACAAGATCATCAACCCCAAAGTTGGCAGGGCCCAGCACAGACATTTCTGCACAGGGGAGACAACACTGAGCAGCATGGAGAGAACCAGGTCCTCAGCATCGCCATCACCAGGGACAACTCCCCGTCAGGCTCACACCCGGGTGTCCCTCCCTCCCGGTCAGTTGGTCGTGCTCAGAGGGACAGAAGGGGACACAGGCTTCCCTGAAGGCCAAGGGTGGGGGATGAAAGAGTCCCAGACACGATGGCGGGAAGGCAAATTTAAAAATTCATCAAATCCTGGAGGCAGCTGGGATCTTTCTTCCTCCGTCTGAAGCCTGGCCAGGAGGCAGCCAAACACCCAGGCCTGGTCCCAACTCCCACCTGGGCCGGGCTTCCCCTTCCTCCTGGGGCTTTCCTCTCTCCCCATCTATACGGGACAGGTTCCCTCAGAAAAAGTCCTCGAACCCTAAAAATACCACAGTCTGCTACACTTGCCACCCTCAAAAGCCATGGTAAAACAAATACCAAAATACTAGAAGACAAAGAGGAAAACTATGGAGAAGAAGAGAATACAGGGAACGTTCCAGAAAACAAGCTTCTGTACTCACGTGTAGAAAAAAAATGCCCGGGAGAAACTGAGTTGCACGCAGCTCCCACCTAGGCAGTCAGGGCCACAGACAGGAGCTGTTTCCTCCCCAGGACAAGTCTCCAAATCGTTCCCAAACCGCAGCGGTGCCTTCTCAAGCGGATCCTGAAACAGCCAGAGTTGCTCTCCTTCTACTCAATATGGACGCCACGCCACGCACAACACGCAGCGGCAGTGGTGAGAACACGCATGCGCATCACGTGGGGGCAGAAAAGGCTGCTTCAGCGCCCCCTGCCAGTCACAGTGCACAGTGCAGGATGATCAACCTCATGGTCTGCATCACCCCAGGCCAGTCTAGGTAAGGTAGAAGTGTGGGTTGTGGGACACCCGGGAGCAGGAATTCCCCAACCTATGCATGTGGACCTCCCCCTGTGAAGCTCCTTTTTTTTTTTTTTTTTGGACAGGGTCTCACTCTGTCACGCAGGATGAAGTACAGTGGTGCAATCACCGTTGACTGCAGCCTCAACCTCCCGAACCCAAGTGATCCTTCCATCTCAGCTTTCCAAGTACCTCCGAATCTGGTTGCTCCATTGTTGGGTGCATATGTATTCGGAATAAGTAAGTCTTCTTGTTGGATTGTACCCTTTATAATTATGTAATGGCCTTCATCATCCTACTTAATTTTGATTGTTTTAGAGTCTGTTCTATTTAATTTTAGAATAACAACTCCTAGCCGGGCACGGCGGCTCACGCCTGTAATCTCAGCACTTTGGGAAGCCAAGGCAGGTGGATCACCTGAGGTGAGGAGTTCAAGAGCAGCCCGGGCCGGGCGCGGTGGCTCAAGCCTGTAATCTCAGCACTTTGGGAGGCCGAGACGGGTGGATCACGAGGTCAGGAGATTGAGACCATCCTGGCTAACACGGTGAAACATCTCTACTAAAAAAAATACAAAAAACTAGCTGGGCGAGGTGGCGGGCGCCTGTAGTCCCAGCTACTCAGGAGGCTGAGGCAAGAGAATGGCATAAACCCGGGAGGCGGAGCTTACAGTGAGCTGAGATTCGGTCACTGCACTCCAGCCTGGGCGAAAAAAAAAAAAAAAAGAGCAGCCTGGCCAACACGGTAAAGCCCCGTCGCTACTAAAAATACAAAAATTACCTGGGCATGGTGGGACACACCTGTCATCTCAGCTACTCAGGAGGCTGTGCCAGGAGAACCGCTTGAACCCGGGAGGTGGACGTCACAGTGAGCCGAGATCACGCCACTGTGCTGCAGCCTGGGGGACAAAGCAAGACTCCGTTTCAGAAAGGAAGGAAAAAAAAAAAAAGAATAGCAACTCCCGAGCCAGGTATAGTGGCTTATGCCTATAATCCCAACACTCTGGGTGGCCAAGACAGGTGGATCATTTGAGCTCAGGAGTTTGAGACCAGTATGGGCAACGTGGTAAAAATGCATCTCTACCAAAGAGTAGGAAACTTAGCCTGGTGTGGAGGTGTGCACCTGTAGTCCCAGCTACTGGAGAGGCTGAGGTGGGAGGATCACTTGAACCTAGAAGGTTGAGGCTGCAGTGAGCCATAATTACAACACTGTACTCCAACCTGGGCAACAGAGTGAGACACTGTCTCAAAAAAAGAAAAAAAAATGAAGAAAAAAAAATAGTGAGTCCTACTGTTTTGTTTTTGTTTTTTGTTTTTTTGGATTGCATGGCAGATATTTCTCCATCCCTTTACTTGGAGCCTGTAGATGTTGTCACGTGTGAGACAACTCTTGAATATGGTTGAGTCCTGTCTTTATATCCAGC